GTGTCAGTGTGAGAGCAGAGGCAGCCTCACGGTTGCCTCTCTGTTTCACCATGGGCTCTGTTTAGAGGAAAGAGCGGTAGAGATCCGGCATAACCACACTCAACACACCACTGCAAATGCAACAAAAGCCCTACAATCATCCAATTAGAGTAATGAATTAATGTAATCCGTGCAAAAAGATGTCAAGATAACAGAAATAAACATTCAGCAGAATACGAATGGCTCATTCAGGTACCTGAACAACAAACACTGGAGAGAGGAACTCCAATCCAGACAGCGACAAGACCGAAAAATATTACTGGGGTTTTTTTATTTTGTACTTTATTGTGTGAAAAAAAACAAAAAAAAAAACAGTAAGGAACAGCTTTGATGCAGGCATTTGTTTTATGCATTGCAGAGTTGTTTAATTGTCAACCATATACATTGGATTGATTTTAATATCTAAAGTACTTTGCACTGTGCACCTGTATTATCTAAAAAAATAAATACAATTATCAGATTGGGACTTGGTATTGGCAGACACTCAATAATAAATGCTACACATTACACTTATAATTACTTAATTATGATTATTTGTAATAATAAAAAAGATCACATTCTTTTTATTGATGTGAATCCTCAAAACTGGATTAAAAGTAAATATGTTTTAAGATAGCTGCAGACAGATGACGTGTCAGCCGTACTGCGTTATCAAGGTCAACCTCTGCCTGCTGTGAAGGGAGAAAGAGGAAAGAGTTCATCATGTTCATGTGCTGGCACCGGTCCTGGGCAGTAATTTCCATGTAGGCTCAAAGTGTTTCAGGGCAAATTATGCATATGACATCTCAAGTCTCAAGCGATGGCTGCTAAAGTATACAATTATGGATTTATGCTACATCTAGAAGGTATACAAGCTTTTTGCTGCTGTTTTGGTGTATACTTTTCTGACACAAGTTCACAATTGAATAAATAAATATTTTTATTTTCTTATTTGCTGTTATAAGCGATGCTTTAAAAAACAAATCTAATCCATATAGTTTTCTCTCCTACCTTGTCCCGCTGCCATCCTCTCTCTCCCTTCCTCTTCTCTTCATGCAGGTGTTCTGAACAGTGCTCCCCTGATGCTCCCTGCTCGTCATGCTCTGAACGCCAGTCTGATGGCAGCCAGTGTTGGTGGGATGATTCCCTACATGATGGATCCCAGTTACACCACAGGCCTCACCTGTCTTGGATCTGTCTCTGCTCTGTCCGCTGTAATGGTACGCTGTGTGTGTGCGTGTGTGTGTGTGTGCGTGTGTTTCTGGGGTCTGTTTTTGCACTCAGTAAGGGCTAAGAAGAAAAATCTGCACATAAATATTTCAGATTGGAATTTTCTTACATGTTGACTGACAGAACATGTAAGGATGTTGTTAAAATACTTCAGGAAGGGGAAAAGGCATAGAAATTCAGGTCCAGATATTTAGTTGAGCTGTTAAATAGTCTGGAAGCCACTGTGGCAAAACAGGCTCGACTACGTAAAACTGCCAGGTTCCTGCTTGTATCTGACTCATTATGCCGCAAATCAACCTCTTACATAAGTGGCAAAATATTTAAGAACAAACAGCAACTCCAGCTACTGCTGACCTCTGGAGACAATTTATCCATCACTTAGTTATAAAGGGAATTTAAGTTTTAGTTTTTATTTGCAAAAATTTTCCTAACTTTCCTAACTTTGCATATAGCAGTCAAATGGCCACTGATAACTGACTTCATCTAGCAGTTTTTAATGTACTGTAACCTCAATTTACCCGATCAGGAAAGTGATACTTTTTGAGTTTTGAAACCAGACAGAGAGCACACACTAATTTATACACAGTGACGTTTTGCAATTTCACCATTTTTGCTGTGTTGCTGGGAAAATCAGCAGGTGGAATTACCAGTGCATCCCTAGAGAACTTAGATGGATATCTTTTCATTTAAAGATGAATTCGTTCAAAATAGCTGTCTGATTTCTAATCAGTACAGTATAATGCATCATCTACTGTGCATGTGTGCGTGTTCCTTCACTCGCACACGTTCCTAAAAATAAACCTACAGTATGTCAATGAAAACAATTAATAATGTGCACCTGCGTGTCTCCACACGCTCCTGGATCTCGCTGCTGCTGCTTTGGTAACTACACTTGGCCATTGTTAAACAAAAACTGTACAGATGATGGAGGGACAGAGAATGAAGGGATTTGATTGTGAAAAATGGAAGTGAAGCTGTTTTCCCTCCAGTGTTGGAGAAATTGTTGTTCTTTTTGTAATAAATTTTTTCTAGTGAGGTTAGACTTGTGAAACTTTTTAATATATTTCTTCACCACTCCCTTGCAGATCTGATAACAGCAGTAAATAAAAAAAGCATTTTTCTTCTTCTTATTCCTTTTTAGGGTGTAACCTTAACAGCAGCTATTGGAGGCGCTGATATGCCAGTGGTTATCACCGTACTGAACAGTTACTCAGGCTGGGCCCTGTGTGCCGAAGGCTTCCTGCTCAATAACAACCTGCTGACCATCGTCGGAGCTCTCATTGGATCATCTGGAGCCATTCTGTCATACATTATGTGTGTGGTGAGTTTCAGTTTAAAAAGCATATATCCGAGTGCTGCTGGCTTGAGTCTCAGCAACACTGTTTGAAATCCTTAAGTGAAGCATTTGATGTATTTTGTAGATCAGCAGACTGCTTCATGTGGTTGTTCCTCTCCCATCCACCAGGAGGGACTATAACTTTACCATAGTAGAGTCCCTGCTCTGAATAAGGTCACAAATGTGTGGGGTTTTTCTGAGGGAATATCCCTTTTGAATGTCTTCTTATTTTGCTGTACACAATAAGGTAAAAAACAAAAGGTAATGCAGTCATAAAAAAAAAAAAGGAAACGTAAAATATCTCTCTCCCCTCTCAGGCCATGAATCGTTCACTGGCTAATGTGATCTTGGGAGGCTATGGCACGTCCTCCACCGGTACAGGAAAGCCCATGGAGATCATTGGCACACACACTGAGGTCAACGTGGATCAGACCGTTGAAATGATTAAAGACGCCCAGAGCATAATTATCACTCCAGGTAAGACACACACACACACCCCTACATACACTCATATGCGAGTGGAAAAACATGGTACTTTGACTTTGCCAGTCTTTTTTTTTTTTTTTGAATTAGCAAAGTGTGTGTTCTGTTTATTTAACCTTTTCTTGACCCATGTTACATCACCATTTTGCTAGGCTAATTGACAAGTCATGGTAGAGTGGCCACACACACACACACTCTTCGGTTTCTGTGTGGTCGTCAGTCCCTGGTAAATAGACATTCTACAGTGCAGCGTATATATGCAAGGTCAAGGGAAAATTAGGTGGAATGAGGGTACACTGGGTTTTTGTTGACAATTCAAGTACTACGTTCAAAATTGGCTTCTAGTTCCTTTTTCAGGGTTAGAGCGCGGTGTCCAACCTCTTTGTTTCACATGTTTTCAGTATTTGACTATAAATATGTGTCTGAGCCTCACCCCAGGACTGTTAGGACGGTTCTTGGTGCTGCTGTCCTAAAATCACCATCATTGTGTGGCCCAGTGAAATTTCAGTCCTCCCGCCAGACTGTTGTGAACTAGTCACAGTTCCAAAGAGTTGTTTTATTCACGTGGGTACATGTAAACACAGACTAAAGGCATCCAGCCTGCAAATTGGTGATTCCAGTCATAGTGCTGAGTGTCCATATACAAAAACTAACTCTTTAGAGGAAACCTCTGCAATTTACAAGAATTGCAAACTTAAAGTGGTTGCGTTGTTGAGAAAAAATGAAAAAGAAGTGATCAATCGAGCACCATGCAATGTAGATTTTTTCACAAAAAGCTGAAAAACAACAGGCCAATAAAAGTTTGAAATTTTTAGTTGGAAGGAGTGGGAGAAATGAAAGAGCGGAAAATAAAAATTATGGGGTGTTTTTTTTTTTTCTCAAAATAATCTACAAACAATAGCACACCAAGACAAGACCAATAATAAAATGCCAGACATTTTTTGAAGGATTATAGAAACAGTAAAACAGTAAAATATGAGGATCAGAATAAGTAGAAACACATAATAGAACCTGTCAATGTAATTTCATGAATTAAGTGATTTGAAAGAGAGACATTCAATCAGTTATAGGCTCTGAAGTTTTGTCAGGGCATCACAAAGCCTCTAAAAAGACACACACTCTCAAGCATTTAGACTCTGTTGATCTGGGCTTTGATCACGGTGCAGTAGATGTATCTCAGTTTTATCTCTCTGCAGTTGCAACATTAGTATGAAACATCAGTGCAAAGTTTATATGCTGTTGTAATGTATGATATGTTGTCAGTAGTAGAGATTCAGATATCAGCCGGTGTATGTAGGGAATAATTTAAAACAACATTATTTTCAGAATACGAACCATCCAAATTCATAATTCTGTTCTCTACCTTGGTAGTCAGTAGTCAGAGTAGTATTGTTACCCAGCTTTGGCTTTCAGTCGGTCCCCTTGTTTCCATTTTGACCATTCTCCCTAATTGGAGCCGTCACAGTCACTTTGCCTGATTGACATCTGTGGAAACGGTTAAGACTCTGCCTGATAAACATAAGTGTTTTCCTGGCTTCGTCTGGCCCATCTCCGCATGGTCTGGGTCCACTTGTTTTTCTTATAGGAGAACCTCCAGAGAGAATATTGGAAGCACAAGGAATGAAAGAATTGTGATGATGGAGAGGAAAAAAAGAAAAAACCATTGAAAACCATTAAATCGTCAAGCTTGAAACCATTGTTTTCTCTCTCTCTCTCTCTCTCTGTGCTGAGTCTGAAACCTTGTCATTTTGATTGGTGCGTCGTAACAAGACAGTTTCTGACTGGTTGTTGTGACAAGGCTAGTAAACACCACTGGACCGTTTGACGTGTGTTTGCGTGTGTGATAAAAATCACAAAAGTGCCACACACCAGCATTATTAAACATGAAAGAGGTCCGAAGCCTGGAGGAAAAAATACATATACTGTGCAAGCTTTCTACTAAAAGCCAAGTAATATGATTTTAGATTATATGTATTCTAAATGTTTCATATTAAATAGATGATTAAAAGTATCTATTCAGAAACGTAAAGGCAGGAATGCTTTGAAGGCGGCTGGGTGATGTATTTAATGTTTGAATATTTCATGTTATCTGCTCAGACACACTATCTTGCTCCCCTGTCACAGCAGCAATAGTATGCACATTAAACAATATTGTAGTATGACATATTATAGTTGCAGTAGAAGGCATCCAGGGAGTCTGTTCACAGAGCTTGTACAAAGTGTTATTCAAGGGCACTTCAGCAGGGTAAATCCTCACTAAAACAACAGCTTGAAACTTGGTTTTCTAGTTGAAGGTTGATTTCTACCAACACCATCACCTGTCAATCAGACTGCTGTCTACCACAGATTACTGTGTTTATGTTTATATCAGTGCTTCATGTCACATAGTACTTCAAGTTTTGGTTAAAAGGACTTGTAATTATTCTTATTTCATGTGCTTGCTCCCTGTGTGCTGTCAAGCATTTAACCCCATTTTGGGATTGGTAAAGGTTAGTGCAGGACTAATTGTTTTCGTTATCAATTAGTGCAGTGAAAAATGTCAATCACAATTTTCTAGAGCTGAAGGTCACAAACTCAAATGACTTGTTTTGCAAATATATAAAGATACTATCATATAAGACGAGGAAAATCTGAAAAGAAAATACATTTAAGAAGCTGTAACAACAAATTGTGGTATTTTTGCTTTACAAATGTGAGTGTCACTGTGTGTCCGTATCATATAGGGTTAATATGAGCTCATTCTTGCCTGCTGTCTTAAAATCTCTTTCAGGTTATGGACTCTGTGCTGCAAAGGCCCAGTACCCCATCGCTGAGTTGGTGAAGATGCTTAAAGAAGCAGGAAAGGACGTCAGGTAAAAGGATGCCAAAATATTTATATTAAATGTACATTAATTCAAAGAAACTGCAGTAGCTAGTGTCTCAGGTAAACAGGGTAGTGAAAAAAGTAGTATAAGTCATGTTTATAAAAAAAGAAAGATGTAGATACAAGATGTAAACTGCACCATGAAGGACATAAAAGAAGAGTTGAGGTTATGGGTTCGATGACAATAAGATGGTGTAAGATAGATAGGAAGAGACTTGTATGCGAAGAAGGAATGAGAAAAGGGAAATGCGAAAGAGAGGACAGGAAGGACAAGGTACAGCGGAAGCTTGTGTTATTGTCCTGCCGCAGTCGTTTGATCCTGGCTGTTGCAGCTGCTGGTACTTAGAGCATTTGTGCTTGATTAGAGGAAAGTGGGTGGTCAGAAAAAAAAAAAAAAAAACCTTCACCCTGATCTCTTTCTCTCCTATTTTCTCTTTTTCTCTGTTCTATATTCTAATGCATTCTCTTCATTTGTCTTCTTGCTTTTACATCTTAATGAATCTCATGCTGTTTTATTCCTCCTCTTTGGGTATACTAACAGTACGCAGTTTGGAAGCACAACACACGAGACAAAAAGCTTCTTCCCACAGTACATGTAGACTGTACCGGATTACACGAAGGGCAGAAACGGACTTTTTCAATCGCCAGCCACAGTCGCTAATAGATCCCAGAACTGACAGGCCATCTGCACTCTGTATCATCCTAACGTCGCCAAGCAAATGGAAAATAAATCTCCAAATGGAAGGTTAAAGAGAAAGAGCCAGCCACCAGAATTCAGTGGCTGGTGTTAATTTCCTACCCTGATTACATGACATGGCTAATTGAGTTTGAGAGCTATGTACACCCAGTCACACACATGTGCGCACACTCAACAAATGATACATGGTGGAGGAGTGCAGTAGGAATTGTATGTGTGTAATCAAGCTATAATTACAAACGTCTCTCAACTCCACTTGTCCAAAATCTCCATCTTGTTGTCTCTTTCTCCGCCCGACTCTATTTATTTTGATCCTCTCTTACCATTTTTTCATGCGTTTCTCTTTTTTCATTTAAGAAAGCCAGCCTTTAGTGTGTAATGGTGGTAAATAAATAGAGGAGCGACTGTTCTAAAGGACTCATTAAATTTTGTTACCACAGGTTTGGTATTCACCCTGTGGCTGGCCGTATGCCTGGTCAGCTCAATGTGCTGTTGGCTGAAGCTGGTGTCCCATATGATATTGTCCTGGAAATGGAGGAGATTAATGAAGACTTCCCTGGTAAGATGCAGTCTTTTGTTTTTTTGTTTTTTTGTTTTTTACATACTTTACCTGCTATGAACTTTCTACCTGATTTATCCAAAATTATTGTGTCCGAATATGTTTGATTCAGCTGTGCTTTTTTAAAGAGTTTCCAGACATTTGGCATTAAAGCAATTGTTTGATATTTTAGGAAATAGACTTTTTTGCTTTCTTGTCGAGAGTTAGATGAGAAGATTTGATACCGCTCCCATGTTTTGTACGCTAAATATGAAGCTAGAGCCAGGAGACCGAAAGTTAGCTTAGCATAAAGACTGGAAGGCGGGGGAAACAGCGAGCTAGGAGTTAAGAGGAGCTAGGCTTTCTTGTCGTCATGGTAAGGTTGCCAGGGAACCAGCCAAAATTCCAGTAAGTCCCGGCCAAAAAATTGTTCCACCACATAACTCCTCATAAAACCACAACTTGTCATGTTAACACTTTGTTCAGATTAAACAAATCAGATATGACATGTTAATCAGAGAGGTGCTTGTAGGGAGATTCCGGTTGCAACAGCAGTTTCCCCCCGTTTTCAGTGTTCAAGCTAAGCTAAGCTAGGCTAGGTCACTGGCTGTAGCATCATATTCAGAACGCATCTGAGAGTGGTATCAATCGTCTCTAACTCTTAGCAAATAATTATATTTCCAAAAATGTTAACTGCACGGACAAGACCACCAGCTGATAGTTTTTGAAATCTTACCCGCAGTTTACTTCATAGAAATTATATGAATGAGCCACGAAAACACAAAAATATTACTCTGCTGCTTTTGCCAGGAAATCACTTGTTGGAGAAACATACAGTCATTATTAAAACCTGAATCTGTTGCATATGGTTATGTTAATTTACATCATGTTGAACCTTCTTTCCACCCACATTTTCCTCAAAAACATATTTTTGTAAACGTCTCCCCACAATATTAATGACATCACCTCCAATTGTGTCATGCACAATCTCCGACTAAATGAGCCATAACTTGTATGCCGTATCTCCAATCCTCAAAGACAGGATACGCGTAATGAAATCAATCTGATTTGGCATGTTGTTGAAGTACGCAAATGATTGGTGACACTGTTATTTTAGGGCTTGTGACAAAACCGTGACACACTATATTTGCGTTTGAAAATGAAGTCAATAAAGTGGCATCAGCGCTCTAAAGTTACACCCGCAGTGATGCAACTTTAGCTGACAAACAAACAAAAAAAAGGCCAGAAAAACCCGAGGCAAAAGGATTTCTAATTGTAATTTCTTGTATGTCCAATCAGAGACAGACCTGACCCTGGTGATCGGAGCCAATGACACAGTGAACTCAGCCGCCCAGGAAGATCCTAACTCTATCATTGCTGGTATGCCTGTGCTGGAGGTCTGGAAGTCTAAGCAGGTGAGACATCTGGTGCATGCATGTGTGATAATGAGGTTGTCCTGAAGCCCAAAAAGATGAAGAGGAATGGAAGATTTTACAACAACTGGACGACTTTTATCGCCACAAGCGAATGTTGGAGTCCACACCCGTAGAGGGGCCTCCATTTGAACACACACACACACACACACACACACACGCACACACACACAAAACCTAAAGAAATGCATACTCACATT